CAGAGCAAATGATTTTGCCTGAGTTCACAGGCAAGTCAGTAACAGGTTCATTTACTCAAACAACATATTTATTGAGTACCTACTATATTCTAGACCAGTGATTCTTAACGTGTGTGTGTGTGTGTGTGTGTGTGTCTTGGACTCCTTTGGCAGTCTAGTGAAGTCTATGGACCCCTTCTCAGAATAATTGTTGTTAAATGCATAAAAACATAAGATTACAAAGGAAATAAAAAATTAGTGAAAGTAAAGATGCATTTTTTTCCATTCAAGTTCATGGACCCCCTGAAATCTATTTACACACAAGGAATGCACGGACACCAGGTTAATAATCCCCATTCCAGGCACTATGTCGGAATAGTGGAATATGGAAAAAGTACAGAGCAAGGCCCCTGTTTTCCATGAGCTTACAGTCTTAAATTGGAATGACAGGACATACCCACATAGAAATAGTAGGAGCTATGCCAAAGGAGTGTACATACAAAAAAGATTTGGGGACAGGAACCCACAGCCCTTATGTCTCCAACTTGTTAGGAAGCCACTACTCCTCCCTTCAGCATGAAACGTGCCAGCTAGCCACATAAATTACAACAGCAACCTAGCCCATGTCAGATTTCAGGCAACAGATGTGTCCCCTTACTCAGATACCAAACCCTTCTGGGTGCATTTGTTGGATCAGACCTTGCTTCTGAGGCACCCCAGCTTGAGGGGCCCAGACACTGAGACAACCCCCTCCTTCAATTTGGAACTGCAGCTCCCTTTAAAGATCTTACCAGGCTTGCAGGATATTTCCTACCCAGTGTTGAGCGGAAGAGATTAAGAGATTGCTTTTCTTTTTGGCTGAGAGAGATTAGGGGTACTAACAGCCCTGGAAGGAATGTTAATGAACCCCAAAGCCCAGAGCAGACAATCTGCAGGGTCTTTGTGGGAAACGCGAGGAACAGAGGCAAAATTACAAAGTAAGCAAAATTTTGTGTTCTGGTGACTTCTTTGGAAGTGGTCCTCCTCCTTACCAAAGTCCAGGGCCATCATATTACCCAGAAATCCACTCCGCCCCTTCCCTGAGCCTGCCCTCAACAAAGCACAATTTCCATACCTCTCTTTTCCCCCAACCCTGTTTACAATCTTCTGCCCTCTGTCCCGTTGCCTCATCGTACTGAACTCAGTGGAAAGCTGGCCAACTTGCTAAACTAAGTGTTTAGGATTTTGTAGGTGGTAATGCAGACCTACACAGCTTGTAAACTCCTTCAGCTGAAGATGGGTTAGGCTAGAGACAGACTGAGGATGGTAGGCTGCTGCGGGTCGCTTGACAAACAGAAGAGTGAGCAGCGGCAACCCGACATTTTTCAAGTGCTGCTGGAAATCCATATGTTATACAGGCCTGTGCTAATGGTTCACTAAGCTGCTCTTAGGAAACGCATTTGCTTTGTGGGGAAGGGTTGCTGCTGGACACGTAACACTTTGACTTAAATGAATGACACAAATTTTCAGCAAAAGGAAAGATTTGAGGACAAGACAGTCTTTTAAGGTAAGTTCAGTTCTGCCTCTCAGCAGCCACCCTATCAGCCTGCCTAGGGGATGAGCTGGAACTCGTAAATACAATCAGGCCATTTCAGGCCTCTAACACTCTAAGGAGGGAAAATCAACTAATGGAAGCCTCACATCTTTAACAGCCAGCAATCTGTTTCTCTCCTTTCACACATGGCGTTACACATTCTGACAGAGGGGAATCATAGTATAGTGGATAGAGTGCTGGATTTGGAGTCAAGAAAACTTGGATTTGAATCATTCTTTTGACATTTAGTTATGTGACCCTGGGCAAGTCACTTCACCCTGTTTGCCTCAGTTTCCTCATCTGTAATATGAGCTGGAGAAAGGAATGGCAAACCACTCCAGTATCTCTGCCAAGAAAACCCCAAATGGGGTCATGAAGAGTCAGACACAACTGAACAACTTCTTTTTATTATTTTGTTATATTAGTATCATAAGATTTAAAAATTTTAATTAATGTTAATTATAATTATATTTAATTTTACCAGTGCCCTGAGGCTTTGAGCAATTTGAAAAATTCAGTAAATAAATTCTTTGGATAAATGCAGGCACTAGATTTTAAAGACACATTTACATGCAATTTCATAGTTAGTAGTGTTTCTCCAAATAATTCCATGGGCTAGATAGTTTTCTTTCTTGTTAAGTGGTCCTATGATTTCATTGGTGTAAGGAACTCCTAAATGAGTAAATTTCTCCCAATAGAAGCCCACAGCTCTACAACTTATGGTTCTCTCTGAAGACTGTAGTTTCTCTCTAAGGAGGCTTGCTTGGAGCATTGAGAGGTTAAGTAACTTGCCCAGGACCACACAGTCAAATCCAGGTCTTTTTGTCTCTGAGGCCAGCACTCTATCCATTGCACTACTCTGCCTCTTTTTTTTTCCTTTTTTTTTTTAGGCAATTGGGGTTAAGTGACTTGCCCAGGGTCACATAGCTAGTAAGTGTCAAGTGTTTTGTCTGAGGTCACATTTGAACTCAGGTCCTCCTGACTTCAGGGCAGGTGCTCTATCCACTGTGCCACCGAGGTGTCCCTCTTTTTTTCGTGAATGAAATTTTTATTTACACATTGTATCTAGAAGCAGATACATAAGTTCTTCTACAATTATTTTCCAAAAATGTGCAAGAAATTACTAAAATTTTGTTTACAGACCAAAATACATATTAAAATCAATGGACTTCGGATAATTCTCATTCTGTGGTGTCAGTACAAAGGGTTTGACATACAGAAAAGTATAAACTACAGCAATCTGGATTGCAAGCATTAATTTCATGGCACTCCATCACCACTACAAAATTTCTTTAACCCAACATGTATACTTAATTCAAAATTCTATAAGAATTTTTCATGATCTGTGGGTGTAGAGTATGGAACACTTTTCAGATACAGCAACTATATGACATTTTCCATGTTATGATTAACTATTAATAAAAAAGATGTTCATAAAAAACATTCTTTACAGGATTAAAAAAGTATTAAAGAAATCAAATTTGTGATTACTACCATACCAATCATTTTAGTTTAGGATTTAAAAGTTATTCCCGAACAGGAGATTGTTCCTTATTAGTATATTCAACAATACTCTCTATTGCTGGTAGTATAATTCCATTTTCAAATTAATAATGCACATACTATGAAATACAGTAAGGATTAAAATAAAAATTATTCTTCTGAATTAGTCATAAAGTAGTATCTCTCTTATCATGAAAACTATGAAATATATAATATTTTAAAATTGGCATTTCTGAAAGCAGTGATCTTAAGACAAATATTTAGACTTCTCTGGCACCAGTAAAATTCGAGACATTGCATATTCATTTCCTACTTAAGACTTCACTAATTTCCATCCTGTTTTAATAATACTGCCCGCCTCTTTTTTTGGAAGTGAGTAATAATAATCTCCATTTTGCAGGCTGCCCCATACTAAAGTCCTAGTCCCGAGCTTCTTTGAAGCATGAAAGTGATAATGGGTTGTCAAAGACTGTAGCAACTGAACATAAGCCCTAGCAAGTCCTACAATGCTAAAAAGATAGCAAGTATGCACTTGGGGATAGACTGTAGTCTCATAAAACCAGCATGGCTGAATTCAGAGGCTCATCCCTACAAAGGTTGACCATCAGATGATGAAGTTCTCCAGTCATAGAATTTATAAAGACTGCTTAAGAGACCACCAGGGTTCCCCATGACCTTTGTAAGCCAGAATACCGTGACCCCTGGAACAGGTCACCTTTAGGAAGGAGGAACAGCAAAGAGGGAGCATTTCTTAAGGACAGAGAGTTCACTAACCCTAGATAGGTCTTTTCATCATAGTCTCCCCACCTTTTCAAGTTCAAACAGTATTGGTTCCTGGGCACTGGACATGTCACACAGGTACATGAATCTTAGGGACTCAGACACAACTTCCATGGTACTATTCATAAAAAGTGGGCAATCAGTAGAACAAATAAGGCAAGAGAAGAGAATAAACACATATTAAGCATCTACTATGTGCCAGGCACTGTGTGGCTAAGTGCTTTACAAATGTTATTTCATTTGATAAACTTTTGCATTCTTGGACACACGCACACACACGTGCACGCACACACACACACACACACATACACACACACACACACATATACACTCTCTCCTGCACACGCACAATACACTAGGGCCCTAAATGCTAGATCACAGGGCCACAGATTTAGAACTGGAAGGGACCTTAGAAGTTACCCAGTCTAACCGCCATATTTTACAGTTAAGGAAACAGAGACCTAGAAAATCACTTGCCCAGAACCACATAACTAACAAATGGCACAACTGAGATCTGAACTCAGGTCCTTGACTTCAAATCCAGCACACTTTCCTTTGAAGCACCTTGCCTTGCCCCACCCCCAACTTCACCAGACTCTTCCTTCATCTCTTCACACAAAAGTTTCTGAAATCCACAAAATACTGTGGCTGGCTCTCCAAAGAATTCACAGAATTGTTTTTTATTGTCTACTTGCTTTAAGTACCCTAGGTAGGGCAGTTAGGTGGCTCAATGGATAGAGTGCTGGGCCTGGAGTCATGAAGACCTGAGTTCAAATTCAGCCTCTGACACTTACTAGCTGTGTGAGCCTGGGCAAGTCACTTAACCCTATTTGCCTTAATCTACTGGAGAAGGAAATGGCAAAACACTCCATTTCTTTGCCAAGAAAATCGCATGGAGAGGAAGCTAGGTGGTGCAGTGGATAAAGCACTAGCCCTGGAATCAGGAGGACCTGAGTTCAAATCCAGCCTCAGACACTTGACACTTACTAGCTGTGTGACCTTGGGCAAGTCACTTAACTCCATTGCCTAAAAAATAAAATAAAAAATGAAAGTGCTTCTTTATAAGAAAGAAAGAAAGAAAGAAAGAAAGAAAGAAAGAAAGAAAGAAAGAAAGAGAAAGAAAGAAGAAAGAAAGAAAAGAAAGAAAGAAAGAAAGAAAGAAAATTGCATGGACTGTATTGGTGTGATATGAACCATGGGATCACAAAGAGTCAGACATGGCTGAACAACTGAACAACAGCCTCTGCTTTCTAATCCTGAGGTCTTTCCACTGCACCATGAAACTGTGCATTGTGTGGAGACCTGAAATGTTTTGTAAGCCATGGGTCTAATCCTCTCTACCATTCATTGTACTCATCACAAGCAAGAAACAGTCCACATCATTTGGAAATTTGAAGCCTTTACCCATAGCTGGGCAATAGGACCCATCATCACATTCCCGGTGATTAGGAAGAAATTGATAAGGTAAAAGCAAAAAGGGTGCTCTATCCACTGAGCCTCCATGGTCCAAAGAGGGCATGGCTTGAATCCAAGCCATGATTCAAGAGAGAAAGCACAGAGCAGACTGCCATGCCATGCTAGAACTCCTGGAGTAGACAAATGCCAGCAGCCCCCTGCACATAAGCAAGGAAGTCGGTGAATTATTAAGTGGAATAATTGGAATCAGCAAGGTAAGAGTTTATTTCAGGCAGCTTCTCTGCTTGAGATGGTGTTCTTTTTTATTATCCTTGCCCCCTCCAGTGCTGCAAACACTTAGGGAGAGCAGGCAGCAGCACTCCTGGCTAATGTCAGTCAAGAAGATAAAAAGTTTCATGCTACAAACTACATTGCCCAATACTGAATTCCATCTAGGTCTCTCTCTGCCTGAAGCCAAATTTGGCCTTCTCTAAATTCTTTGGGCCTACAAACGAAGGGTGACATCATAACTTTGGAACAATAGTCCTTTGTAGGGGGGGTGTGGGGTGGGAGGGTTGGGACCTGTTTCTAGGTTAAGAATCACAGGATTGTACAGTATTGATTCAGACCAAGAAAGAATCAAGCAGGTCATTTGGTTTAACTGTTTTATTTTATAGATGAGATAACTGAGGCTTAGAGAGGTTATGACCCGTCCAAAGTCACCCAGGTAGTGGCAGAATAGAGATTTAAACCCAGGTCATCTGTCTTCAAATCTAGTGTGCTTTCACCATACCCTGCTGTCTCATGATTTTGAGACAGATGCATTTAGGGATAATCTCTCAGGTAGCCACCTAAATTAAATAATGTGGTTTGAGGGACTCTGAAAGGATCTCATGTTTAATGTGTGACCTTGGGCAAATCACTGCACCTCTGGGGCCCCATTTTTCTTATCTCTAAAGTGAAGGTGTTGAACTAGATGGCCTTACAACTAAAGCAATGATTCTATGATCCATGGCCAATGATACCTCTCCCACCTAATTATCATGGTACCTAAAGTTTCTGCCATTAGAGTGACTCCTTTAGAGTCTTGTGGGAATGGCTTTTAAATGGATACAAGCATCACCAGGTAAAATCAACAACGTGTCAGTATTTATTGAACACCTACAAGGCACCCAGCATAGTTCTAAGTACTACAGGAATCAAACAGCCATATAAAACATTCCCTTTGGCACTGCCCTTGAGGAGACCGAGCCCATACATGAGAACAATCAGAGAATAGGAGATAAAAGAACTAAGGACAATGAATAGAATACTAATTCAGAGAAGGGCATCACATCAGCTAGTTAACATATTACATCAATTCACTTGATCAATCCATTGTCATCTAGCAGAGAGCTAGTTACTGAGAGAATGAGGCAAAGGTCATATCACTTTTAATTAAGTATAAGAGATCTAGAAAGCTCTAGAGTATAGGGAAACTATCAGAAAGAATAGAATTGGCTTGATGGGAAGTGGCAGTAGGAAGTTGAGGTACAGTCAAGGGCAATATGAGATCTCTAGGGTCTTAGAAAGAGGGCGCTAAAAGTGTTGTTGTTTTTGAGTTATTTCAGTAGTGTCCCACTCTCTGTGACCCCATTTTTTGGAGTTTTCTTGACAAAGATACTGGAGTGGTTTGCCATTTTTTCTCCAGCTCATCTTATAGATGAGGAACTGAGGTAAACAGGGTTAAGTGGCTTTCCCAAGGTCACACAACTGGCAAGTGTCTGTGGCCACATTTTAATTCAGGTCTTCCTGGTTCGAGACACTGTATCCGCTGTGCCAGCTAGCTGTTTAGTAAGTTGTGGGGCATTAATGATGACTTCAAGCCATTCATGGACTCAAATTCTTCAATGAGTTTGTGATTTCATCTGTATAAATACTCCTAAACCTATGCAGATCTCAAAGTGTTCCTTATTTTTTGTCCTATTCAATTTTTGTCCATTTCCTACCCATAAGATCCAAACTAGTTCTAACATTCTATGATCCTGGAAAATTAAATAATTAATAATGGAAAGCAGTATGCAATAAAGGCCAAACGTACAGGGTATCTCAAATTTTTTAGTGTGATTTAAAAGCTTTAATAGCTTAAAATTTAATTTAAATATAAATTTAAGCTTTAATAGCTTAAGACTGCACTAAGAATTTTGGCACACCCTTTATAATAATAACTGGCATTAATATAGCACTTTAAGGTCTATAAAGTACTTTATATAATTATCCCATTTGATTTTCACCACAAACTTCCAATATACATATGAAAGGTATTATTATTCTCATTTTACAAATGAAGATATTGAGCCTCAGAGAAGTTAAACAACTTGCCTAGAGTCCCAACAGCTTGTAAGTGTCAGATGTGGGGTTCAAACTTAAACTTTCCACTATTTACACTGCCTCTGCAGACAATTAGTATTCTGGGAATTCTGAGAAGAGGGGAGGGGATCACTTCCTGGTTCAGCAATCAATGAAGACTTCAACACATAAGCTGGGCTTCAAGCTAAGCCTTGGAGAATCACCAGCCATACCGGATTTCAGTCAAGATCAGAAAAGTGGCTAAAGGCATCTCTGTGACTGGCTGCCTCTTTGATGCCATCTGGATCTGTTATCCCGTTAAGACTATGGTTAATAAGCAATAGCATAGCCCCTGTAAGAGAACTGTGCCCCTGAATGGTATTTCAAGAATTTGGTCACATTCTTTCACATCCTCTCCTAGAAAACAAATGTCATCAGTTGGACAAAGACACACTTTAAGCCCCTGAGACAGCCTACATCCTTTGGTACTTTTGTCTTTTTACCCTGCATTGATTGATGGTTTAAAGATTTCTATCTGAACTGGAACTCAGCCAGGGATAATAGAAGTGGGGATAATCTTATTTATATAGCACAGAAAATCTTATGAAAGACTCTTGTAGATTTCTCACAGTCTATAACTTGACCCTCCCTATATTTTAATGCCTGTTTCACAATTTCTGAAAATTGATGACATCATCTTAATCGCTAAAATTCCTGATAATCACTTTTTGCCTACAGAGTAGGGTGTGTCAGGGGAGAGGGAGGGAGGTCAATGAGACAGACTGTAAATCTGAAAGTTTTTGTAGAAGAAACTCCAAATAATTTTTTATAGAGACAGTGACAAGTGCTGTGTTGATATTTTAAAATCAGCTTCTTAATGGTACTACCAGCTAATCAAAAATCTCTGTTGGAAAAATAAAAAAGCAATACTTTGGGTGATTCTATGAGCATTCAACTCTAGAAAGGTCATTAATAAAAGATGGCAAAAGCTATGCAATTTGTACCAAACTTAGTTTTAGCCTTGGGGGTTTCAAGTGCTCTGGCTATATATTATTCTTTTCCCCCTTGGAACTTTTACTTGCAATAAAAAAAGGGTCTCTTGGAGCATTAACACACAGCCTATTAGTCATTCTGATTTGCTATTAATAGATATACTATGATAACCTCATCATATTAGACAGAACTCAGACCCAGAGCTACAAGAAATTTGATATTCAAGAATAAGTGACTTACTCTTTGGGTTTAAGTCTGAACAACTCACTTCCTCTTCTTTAAAATAGAGGTGGTGAATGACTGACTGATTAGGCACTATAGCTATCCCTTCCACTTTCAAGACTTTCCCTATCTTAATTTTGATACAAAACTTCGGATCAGCATAAGAAATCATGTGGGAATGTTTTGGGGGATTTTGCAGAAGCCAGAGATGATATGCAAAGGCCTGCAGACAACACAGAGCCTAAGATAAAATACCTAACTCAAATTCTACAATAAGGTACCATAAACACCCCATAAAGGAAAAAGAAAAACTTCAGACTTCTTCTCTGGTACAAAGGGAGGACGAAAAAAGTTTACATGGATTTTCCAGGTCGTGGAGGCACTGGGTCCCTAACCCCCGTGATGTGTAAGGGATAACTGTAATTCACCTAAACAAGATTACTGGGTCAGAGTGAGTTACCAACTAAATATGGATTAGCAAACTGTTACAGCTGAAACAAAACCAAGCATGAGGCTGGCACATTTAAGCAGAGAGGTGGCTAGTTGGCACAGTAGATAGGGCCTGAAATCAGGAAAATGAGTTCAAATCCTGCCTCAGACACTTACTAGCTATGAGACTCTGGACAAGTCACTTAACCTCATTCAACCTCAATTACCCTGTCTGTAAAATGGTGCTAATAATAACACCTAAGCCCAGGGTTGTTGTGAGGATCAAATGAGATAATATGCAAAAGCACTTTGCAAACTTTAAAGTCTGTATCATGTAAATGCTAGCTGGCTATGTTGCCTCTCCAATTAGATTGTAAACTTCTCAAGAGACAGCAGGGACAATATCTTATACTTCTCTGTCCCCAACAGCTATTCGGTACCAGCACAGGGAGCAGTGTGTCATAGAGAAAGAAGCCCTGGCCCTAAAGCTCAAGAGATCAGAACCATAGTCCCAGCTCTGCCCCCAATAAGCTCCAATATCTTGGGCAAATCACCTCCTCTCTCTGGAGTTCGATTTTGTTTCCCTGTCTGTACAGTGAGGTGGCAGCCTGTTGTTTTTGCTGTTGTCATTCAGTAGTTTCCATTGTGTCTGACTCTTTGTGACCCCATTTGGGGTTTTCTTGGCAAAAATACTGGAGCAGTTTGTCATTTCCTTCTCCAGCTCATTTTACAGATGAGGAAACTGAGGCAAACAGGGTTAAGTGACTTGCCCAGGGTCACACAGCAAGTATCTGGGGTTGGATTTGAGCTCAGGAAGATGAGTCTTCCTGACTTCAGGCTGGGCACTTTCTTTACTGTGCCATCTAGCTGCCAATGTGACTAGTATGGCTGTGTTATGCCCCTTGGCACATGGTGTGATGCTTGGCACATGTTAGTTCAATAAAGACTCATTGAACCAAAGAATGAATGACCCTACGTGTCTCAAATAGAATCAAGATGGTGAAACCCTTCCCCATCTCTTATATCAAGATAAGTGGCACCTGCCACACCCTTACCATGGTCAAGAAGGAGGAGTCTGGCAGTTTTCTAACACTAAATAGTAACTCATATGATAGTGACAGACCCAGCAGGACAAGGGGACCCAGACCAGAATGGGGGCATCTGAGAACAGATGAAGGAAAGAAGGCTAAGTTAACAGTGTTTCTAGACCCACTTGCAGATCAGCTATACTCAAAAACTCCAAAATGTGTTCAACAATCATCATCACTAATGTATAGATACAGATATATACATACACAAATCT